GAAAATATCCGTAAAGGCCTGGCTCCAAAGCCACCTCCACCTGTGAAAGACAGTTATATGATGTTTGGTAATCAGTTTCAATGTGATGATCTGATTATTCGACCCTTGGAGAGCCAGGGTATTGAACGGTTACATCCTATGCAGTTTGATCACAAGAAGGAATTAAGAAAACTTAATATGTCTATCCTGGTCAACTTTTTGGACCTCTTGGATATCTTGATAAGGAGTCCAGGAAGTATAAAGCGAGAGGAGAAACTGGAAGACTTGAAACTGCTTTTTGTTCATGTCCATCATCTTATAAATGAGTATCGCCCTCACCAAGCTAGGGAGACACTGAGAGTCATGATGGAGGTACAGAAACGTCAGCGTTTGGAAACAGCAGAGCGATTTCAGAAGCATTTAGAACGAGTTGTAGAGATGATTCAGAACTGCCTGGCTTCCTTGCCTGATGATCTGCCTCATTCAGAGGGAGGACTGGGAGTGAAAGCAGAAAAAATGGATACTGATGATGGCAGCAACTGTATTGGACAGAGTGAAAAACAGAGGGAGCGTTCTGGTGGCAAGAGAGATCAGGTTTTAGACAAAGATGCAGCTATGTGTAGCATTATTGATGAAATGACATGAAGAAAACACTATATTGTTAGCTCGCCATAGTGAGAGGCAGAATGCATTTTGAGGGTATATGTTGTATTTTGCTATTGTACAAGCAGACAAAACATTTATTGTACACCTGTTGGAGGTTGTGAGTGATTAGGCAGATGAAAAGGTTTCATATTTTGTGAGCTGTTTGTTTATTGGTAGAAACAAAAATCTTTTTGTTAAATGTATCATGTGAGGTGGAAGCCACAGATTAAAGTTAGCTTTTTCTGTTGTACTTTCATTTGTCACCTTCTGCTTTTTGGGTATGCATCTTTTTTTTTTTTTTTTTTTAATTGCTTTGTAGTGTGGAACCAAGTAAGGGATCTGACTGAGAGGAATTGCAGTTGTCAGTTCTTCCATTTCAAATAAGTGCTACTTGTTTACAATTTCAGTGGGTATGTGTAATTCAATATTAAAAACAAAATTACTGTCAAATCTGCAAAATCCATTCCTTTCTACTTTGTAATAATATAACTGTACTAAAAAGAACCTAAGCATTCCTTTATTCCAGATGTAATGTGTAATTTGCTTTATAGAGACACACTGTGAGGAATCTCAACCACTAAATGAATTAAAATTAATTGGATTTTAATTTTCTTAGATGTACATCATAACCAGCCTTGAGCTTACAAAAATGCCTTTTTTTTTTTCCCCACATAAATGCTCAGACTAACTTATATTTCCTGCATAGTTAATATACATGCATGAAGTGAATCATTTTGCAGTGCAGATGCTTTGTATTTGCCTTTTAGGTGGGCTCTGTGCCCAGCTGAGCGGTTTTCCCAGGAAGAAAAGTCTGATTGGTCAATTAGTCTTTATACTAATTGAGAACAACTAAGTTTGAAAGAACCTGTGAATATTCTATCAAATGGAAGCCATATCAACCATGTTTAAAGAACATTTGAGTTGGATCAATCCCCTGTAGGAAGAGGAAAAGAGTGATTTGATAATGAAGAAGTGGCTGCTTTACCCTGCCCCTCCTGTCAGGGAAATCCTACTTCCGTCTTTTTGCCATGTAACACATAGTATGTATGTTTTCCAAAGTATGTACAGCAGCTAAAAAACAGGTAAACTTTATGGGTGAGGGAACTGACACAAACTCTGTTTTTAACTGTGATTTAACAAGCTATGTCTCTGTTTCGCTTGATAATTCTTCAGTCGCTTTCAGAAATGTTACTTAAATGGGCAGGCAAAAGTACTTAGCTTTTGGGTGGTGGGCATTGAGCTCAGTGCAGATAAAGATGAACTGAAGCAAGTCTATGACTCATTGGACAACATCATCTGTTATTTTAAGTGCACATGAATCGTAAGTAATGATAAAGAAGTAGATATGTTTTTTTTTTAGAAATGTATAAATAATTTTTTTTTTTTTAGAAAAGTATAAATAATTTTACAAAGTAACACTTTTATCCCTTTTTCAACCACCGCTGTTTCCTTCCTTCTCCCCGGACTAGATCTAAATTATTTTGCTTGTAGGTAACTAAAACAGTTGCAAGTGAGCAGAATTAATTTGGTATCTACTTTGCAAATGTTGTTTCATGTGGAAGATATGAAGAAACATTTAGTGCCTGCTGGATAAGAGAGGTCGCGCACTGTGGAACTACAGTTTGTCATGGACATTTTAACTTGCCATTCAAAAAGAACTTCATAGGTGCTCAATGGTTTTCTGTTGAACTTTGTCTAATTTTTGTGCTTTTAATAAAGTCGTAGGCCTGGGTACCATAGTTTCAGAGTACTGCACAAGCCGGGTCCTAGCAGCAATTAACAATTGCAACAAATTTCTTTTGTGAAACCATTGAGGTAAACGGGGATCATGTCATTTAAAAAAAAAAAAGATGAGATCTTTCCTTACCTCAGCAAATCCTGATTTTATTTTTGGATGTGATAACATTTGAAGTATTCTATCTCTGAAATGTTAATATATATAATATGTGTTGGATTATATATGCCTTATATGAGATAAAGTTAACATCAAGTGTTAAGCAGTGTTTTGTTGGATGTTTTCTTAATTTAAAAAAAAAAAAAGGGGGAAGGAAAAGAAAAAAGCCCAGCCCTTCTATTACGCTATCTGAACAAGCACAGGGATAGCAGAAGTACAGTTACTGGAAAAGTTCCAAAAGTTTCTTGATCCAGAGAAGCTAAGTTTGTCACCAGTGGACAAAAGGGGAAAGTTTGTAGCTCTGATCATCTAGGGGGAAAAGAAGAAAAGCTATTTAATGATATGGCTTTAAAATGGTGCAATGAAGAGATGTTTCCAACAATGCTTTAAACTTATTTCAATATTTAATGTTTTAGTTTTATTTTCACAAAGTATGATCTGACTGTATGCTCCGAGTCAAGAAAAAATGTGTGGCTACTTTAAGGGCTGCATGAAAAAGATGACGTTGGCATCTTGTCTACAGAAATGGTGCTCATATCTTGCACAAACAGAAAACAGGAACTTGGAAAACAGGCTGTAGAAATTCAGAAATTATATCAAGGCATTCCATATGGTCTGTGTTTGAGATGGAATCTAAAGCAAGTAGGTTCACTGTTGCCCTGTAGCTCTCACATTCTCTTACTATGTCACCAGAACGGCTTTCCTGGGGATACAGCCAGCAGACAGCACCCGCACTACTGTAGACTATTGTATGAACGAAACAACCTGGGTGAAGTGAGTAGAATGGACTCAGGCAGAGCTCTGGGATAACAGTTTCCTTATTTTCTTACCCTGTTTATTTATTTCAGAGCTCAGACATGGCCCACACAGAGGAGGAATCCATATGGACTCATGCACGCTGCACATTACTGCAGGTAACTGGCAGAAGGGATGTGTCCTGGTCTGCAGGTGGGTGTTCGTTGCACACTGAACCACCAGGAGGAGTTCGTCAGCCGCTGCCACCGCACTATCGTGGCACGGCTGTGGTGAATGCTGTCACCTGCCTTCTGCCAGAGCCAAGTTACCCGGCCTTTTCCATCTGTGCAGAGCAGTTTCAGGATCCTGCCATTAATGATCAGAATCGTTCCTGTAGCAGCTATCTGCAGTTTCCTGTTTCCCCAGAAACAAGAGGAGCGAAGAGGAAGCATTTTGTTAAGGGTCCTGCTTCCAGCTACGGCATACAAAAATCCCCCTCTCTCCCTCGTCTCTCAGCTCTTTCCTATGGGTATGTTGCTAGTGTTTGTCGCTTGGCTACTTTAATCCCTTGTTTTTCCTCCTTTTCACTTAAAGAAACTGTCACTTTGGTTAGACTGCTCTCAGGTAAGGTAGTCAGTGCCAGACAGCTCTATTGGTTCTGATTCCAGCCTAATGTATGGTTTTGGGTGTGGTTTTGGATGCATTTCTGCTGTTTCAGGTATTGATAAAAAGAAACTCCTTACAACTTAATTTCGTCTGTATAAAACAGTGTAAAGTAGATTAGTTACTTCAGCAAAGATCATTTGTTGGCCCTAGATCAAATACACTTGATCACAGCTGCAGTTCTAGTCCAAACAATATAAAAAGGCAAGATGTCCTCAAGAAGAGTTAGGTAATCCAGGGACAGGGAGAGTGGCCAAGGAACACTATTTCTCAAAAGCTGTATTTCAGCAACATTTTATCAAAGTGAGCCTTGAGCCTGTGACAACATGGTTTCCACACTACTTTTAAAGTGACCTTTGTATTCTGTGTGTGTTACTTTATATTGCAAAAGCCCAGATGCATACAGAATTTTTAAGAGTCAGATGATGGAAGACTGCAACTCTATCAGGCTACAACTGTGTAAAGTAGGGCAGCTTTCCAATACTACCAAATTATAGCCTACAAAGAAAATAGCATTTGCCTGAAGATGCTCTGAGCTGCTTCTAAGTATTAGAACCAGAAATTAATTATTAAATGCTAGAGTAATTCTTCCTAGAAATCTGTTCTTTTGCCAAGTCCTTTGTTTATCACAGTCTGTTAGATATCCTATGTAATCTCTTATCCAAATTCTATCTACTATGGCAAAAAAAGGTGTGGGAAGCAGTATGGGGCAATGGATTACTGACAGTTGTGTCAGCTCGGTGGTGCTGACAACAGTTTCATCTACTGTAATCAACCAGATCTGGAAAAAACGAGAAGTAGATTTCTGAAGTGCTGCGAAGTATTTTAGCCTTTTAGTCAAACCACAGTCAGCAAGAGTGCAGCTGTGAACGCTGTTGGCAGCAGTGCCTGGCGGTGCTGCTGGAGACTAACAGACTAACCACAGGAAAGGCAATCCGGATAAGACCAAAGGGCATTCTCAGCTGTGACTGATATATGTGAAGATACTAAGAAGTAAAACCAGAAGTTTATGAAGAAGATAAGTTTTCTTGAATGTAGGAGCCCGAAAGTTGAACAGGAGTGTTGTTCCTCGTCTTCAGCCGCAATGTCGTCTCGTTTCTGCATGAACTGGATTCTTCTGATCCTGTTTACAGGTAACTAAGTGGGCCTAAACGAATAGGTGGAGGTGGATGGAGGTAACATGCATCAATGTTTCTGAGGATTGCAAAGAGACATTTTATGTTAGAACGGGAAGAGTGGCCGCATGGCACAGAAACTGCAGTTTTGTGTTGTGAATAGAACTTTACCACAGTGGCTCAATAGTCTTCTGATGGCCTTATCTCCTTTATTAAAACAAAATCACGTTGAGGGTATAATGGTTTTAAAAAAACTGCTTCTTGGGCTGTCTGCTAGTCTTATTACTGAATGATCTTTTGGGTTTTTTAGATAATGATGCTCTGAGGTGAGCAGAGAACTTTAAATCATTTTAGAAAAGATGTAAAACAAGGATATTTTGCTTTAAGAGGCTTTGCGAAGATGAATGCTTAGGAAGACAGGGAAAAGGTCAAGTGTGGCTTCTGGTGTTTTTTTAGCCAGTATGAAATTTTATTGGGACAAATTGATAATTTCTCCTTTTTTTGTTCTGAGAAAGCAGTCCTCCTAGGAAAATATTGTTAAAGGCAATAGCACTGAAAAAAACAGGTTGCAGAGTGGTACTAGTATAGGCAGATGGACATTAAAAATTTGGTGGTAGAATATGTTCAGTAGAAAGAAAAGGGATATCACAGATATTATTTCCTCTGGTTCTTTATAAGCCTTTTATGATGAGACTCATTTAGATCTTGCTTTTTTTATATTAAATAAAATACATTCTTTTCAGAGATTAGTTTCTAGTACGCTATTGTGGCAAAGTCTCTGAATGCTGACTTATTTTTAAGTATAATAGCTTAGGTTAGGAAAATGACTGACCTGAGCTGGGGAAAACAGCTTTTTCACAAGGGACAATTGCAATCAAGCCATAGAGCGCTTGGGATCCACTGGCACGTGTTGGCGGACCTGCCTCTGGGAGCTCCCTTCCTAATTATAGACCGGGCTAGACTTTTAATAGAGGTGATTTGTTGCCTGTACTTGCTGCAGAGAATTGAATCCCTGAAATGTTAATATGGATAGATGGAAATATTTACACGTGATCCCATCTTACTGAATTTGATAAGAAATGTGTAGTATATGGCAAACAGTTTTCTTTGAAGTACAAGCAGACAGAACGTGTACCTCAGGAGCCCCACTGTGTAACCTGTTAAAGGAAGGTGGTTACAGGATGGCTATGACTGGATCACCAGAGCACAAATTATTTTGGCTGGCACTTAATACAGCTTTTATTAAAACCCTCCTAAAGGGAATATTGACTGGAGTGGTCTAAATACAGCAAAAGAAGCCATCGCACTGTGATGAATGGACTACTGGCTGCTAGGTCTCACTGTTTTGACTTGAATAGCGTGACGTGGTCTTCTGGAAACATGAAAAATTACTTTCAATGGGAACCAAACAAGTTAGAAACTGCATAAGAATGAGGGGAAAAAAAATAAGGTAGTGAAAAAAGAGGATATAAAATTTCTCAGAAAAGCTCTGAAAAATCTCTTCTGATAGGAATAGGCGAAGTCTGTCATTAGGTAAGAAAAAAGGAAACGTGTTCAGCAGTGATCATTCTGATGAAACCTGCCATTTAGTGGCTTTTCATTGAAAGGGAGGAAGAGTTCCCCACAATGGTTTTAATGAAAGTCAGTGTCTTACTGTTTCCCCCATGTGTGGCTTGGATTAAATCTGAATGAAGGAAAAAAATAAAGAGCTAACAGACCAGACATGGCTAAAGAGAAGACACCGAGTTGTGCAGATCCAAACTCTGTTCTCTCTTCACCTCTCTGCCTACCTGCAGAGCCTGCAGAAAGTGTGTTTTTTCTTTCTCTGGCTAGAGACACATTCTGAACAAATCACTGGCCCAATCATTATCCCTCACTGCATCAGTCCTGCTGGATTCACATCTATTTGTGGAAAACCCGATGCAGCAATGCCTAGTGGTGTTTGCGAGATGGCAGGTACTGGGTCATGCAAGATGCGCGAGAAGCTTCCACTTGTGTGCACTGTGCTCAACAGCTATGTTTGTCTCTTTGTCCACAGGCCCCATGGTATCGGGATCACTTGTGAAAGGAAATGTTGGTCAGAATATCACTGTGCCCTGTTTTTACAGTGTTAAGGGGACACAAGACATCACATCAATGTGTTGGGGTCGTGACAGCTGCCCTGTTTCAAAATGTTATCGGACCATTATCTGGACAGATGGGTGGAAGGTGACAGAGCAGTACAACAGCAGGTATATGTTGAAAGGCAACCTGCTGGTGGGCGACGTGTCCCTCACAATCGTGAACGCCGAGGAAGCAGACAGTGGGATATACTGCTGCCGCGTGGAGATCTCAGGGTGGTTCAATGATCAGACAAGTAATCACAAGGTTGTGATAGAGAAAGGTGAGTGCAGAGGCGCTCTTTTGTGTCGGTACTAGTGTGGTAAATCTGCTGTTGAGTCTGGATTTCAAAGCTTGTGGTGGAAATGATTTCTATAATCACCCATAGGACTGATCTTTAGGACTTTGCAGGTCTGCTGTTAGTGCTGTTTAAATTAAGTTTTCTTTGGCATTGTTGTAATCCCAATGCAGTCTCTGCAATTAAAAAAAGGACATGGTGCTTTGTTTCATGGTGCACAGCACTACTGAGCTTTCTTAGAAGCACTAACTGAAGAATTTAAGGGAAAGGGCGGCACAGGGTACTTAATTCATCTGAAGCGCTATACTTGCACCCTTTTCGTAGAAAACAGTGCTTCATTTTCCCTGCTTGATTCCAGAGTAAAGCCCAGGGACACAAAATTAGTATAGACAATTTTTTTTATCGTGTTTTCCTTTGATTTTAGTTTTTCTCTTGTTTGTAAAAAGCATAATAATATATGGAACAAGTGGCTGACAGATGTACTTGTGTAGCTGGTGCTAGCAAATTTTTATTACAGAAACACTTTCTCTTTTTCACTACATAAATGCACACTAAGGTTAATTGTAACGTATGTTGGTTTTGTTTTATTTTTTGACATCAGCTAGGATCTCTACTGCAAGTCCTCACACTTACACCTCTGAACAGACCTCAGGTAACTTTTATCCAAATATTAATCTCAATAGCGTATATAAGCTATATTGCAAATGGGAATCTTAGGAAGGAAACAAAATGATAGATGATAGAAATGTCTTGGCTAAAATTTACTAAACATTACCATAGAACCAGAGATCAGAACTTGGATTTAAATTCTGCCTGACATTATATAGAGTGTCCAACAGAAGGAACATGTATATGTGGGAGGAAGTTTGCTTCCAGGTGTTATGCTTAAGTAGATGTTTTATTGGTGCTGCAAGCATTGTTTTTCTTGTGGCTGTTGTTTTGGTATGTTGTTTTCTTTGTGGTATAAAATCTCACCTCATCTTCTGGAAATGCACCCCATGAACAGTAAAACACAAATTTTTAGGATTTGGGTGTGCCCACTATTTAATCAATTTATTTGTTGCTCTATAACATAGAACCGTTTTATTGGGCTAGCTCAAAAGTGCATCTAATTCAGGATCCTATCTCAGTAGCAGTCAACAGCAGATGACTGCTCTTAAGGAGGGTCATAGAAACAGGGCAGTAATTTTGTGATACAGCATCAAAGTATTCTTCTATCCTGGTATAATGTGTGTCTTAAAGGCTGCCCATGTCCTCTGTAGCCTATGCCTCACTGTTGTGGAAGAGACAGTGAACAACTATTCCTCACTCGGTTTCTCCATTCCACTCATAAGTTTATAGACTTCTACCGTATACCCACCTAGCTGCATCTTTTTCAGTCTGAAAAAGACAACTTTAATTTCCAGTACACAAGAGAGAGCTCATAGTGTAACAATAGCTTATTCTCTGGATTTTGAAAGAAAAATCAGGGATGCCATTTGTATTTCTCCCTCCATCTCAAATGTTTCCAGCTAAGCAACTCTAAAACAGTTGCATTTCCTTTTTGAAGAAGAAGTGAAAACTTTCTCAGACTGTTTCTGTTCTAGTTGCAAATAACATGGCTTCCAATCTTAGAACTCATGGGTTTTCTTAACCCTGTGTCATCTTCCTTAGCTGCTGCTGGAACGATTTTTTATGTTTTCAGAATACAAGTTAATATATGCATGTTCATCCAGAGGGAGACTGGAAAAGGCAGGTGGCCATGTGCCTCTGATGTAGGAATACTCCAGCATCTCCAGTGGAAGAGAACAGTGAAGCAGATGATCCTGTCCTTTTCAAAATAAAGCTTCTGGGATAAGGGTAACAATTTAAAACATCAAAGAAACCAGCTGGGGTTGTCATAATGTGAATAGCAGATTTTGTTCTTAGGAGAGTTGTATATCATCTGACAACACATAGAGAAACTGAGACTGATGATATGAAAGACAAGTTTGTAGCTCTGAATTTTAAATATTGCAAACAGCTTTGCTCTGGGAAATTACTTCAAAATATGCTGCAGGTCCTTATGCAAACATATCACACTTTGGTCGGTCTGTTTACTGTATAGCTGTCTGGAATTTAAGAAGTATTACTTGCTTTCTCTAACTCTGCACCACTTGCTCTTTCAAGGCCCTGAGTTAACCTTAATCAATTTTCATCAGATAACCTAAGTTTGCTTTAGGCATCCACTGCCGCCTCTTGGCTCCAAATCCAGATGCCTACCTTGGTAACTCCTTCCTTCTAGGCAGATAACAGCAAGAGCTAAGTGTTCCCTTGAAGGAATTCAAAGCTCTGGAAAGGACAGCAGAGGCTCCAATATTCAGAGTTTTGTGCTGCCCTCTGAAGGCACCAGCCTCTTCATGATATGCAGAGCCGAGACTCCTGATAGATACTTAAGTTCAGTGGTCCCAAGTCAGCAGTACAAATTCCCCTCTGTCAAGGCAGAATGGTTCTCTGTGCAAGTGATGTGTTTTTCTTGCCTTTGCTCAGCTCATGGGAGTGCCAGTGAATCATCCTTTACCATCACAAGAACGTGGCCATCAGTTTCTGCTTCAGAAGCTCCTCAGACTGTAAGCATCTCTGTTGTGCTGTAGCATACCTAGACAGAGTGATAGACATGAGACGTTATTGGGTCATCCCTACAGTTCACTTGTACTGCTTTAGTTTGATTGCAAAAGAATTTTTTTTTTGTAGTCGGCATATTTAGTGCTTATGAAAGAATGCTTATGTGTTCATTAATAAAGAGGGAAAAAAAAAAAACCCTGCTTTGCATGCATAAAGTACTTCCCAGTAATGCAGGAAGAGCTTTAGCAACTTCTGTATTGCCTTTCAGGCCTCTGGTCCCTGCTCAAGCACCTTGGACCGCTCGAATGTAACCTCAAACCTGCAGGTATGGCAGGATATGGGGAAGAGTTGAAATCGGACCACTTGACAGCACAGGGATGCCCTGCACTCCCGGCGCGATGGGGTTCAAACAGGCAGCTCTGTGTCTGTCCTGCTGAGTCCTCCAGCACATATTGCAGGGTGACAGGCAGTAATATCACCTGAATTTTATCAGGAAGACAAGGCAGCCAAGCTAGCCTTTTGGAAGGCCTGCTGTGATGTACTACAAGACAGTGTGTGCTGTGGGCATTCATACTGCTGCATGTGCAGAGTGTAAGTCAGGGACCATACTGCGCTTCAGCGTCTTTCCAGGCCTGAGTTCCTAATGAGAGATTAGATATCTAACGGCTGGCTTCAGAAAGAAGTTCTGAATAAAGACCCCACTGCAAGGAGAAGGCATATTTACTTATCTGTATAAAGCCTTTAATAACTACTGAATAAGCTGACAAAAAAGCGGGAGGGTGTGACACTAGGAGATACTTTAATCATAAAAAATAAAATATTACACCAAATAGTATTAAACCTGAACAAATGGGATTTGTCATAACTTCAGGTCCTTTGACAATCTCAAAAAATAATGTGTTTAACAACATGGTTCACAGAACTGTTGCAGTGATTCTGCTTGAAACTGGTCCTGTATCTCAAATTAGGCTCTTGCTCTCAAGTGTACTTTAACTGCAGGGTTGCAAAACACAAAATGGCCTTTGGGTACTGTATGGGCTTCTTGCTCTCAGTGCCACTAATGCTCATCTGTTTTGTGTTTGACAGAACGTGTCTGTATCACTTCCCAGCCAGCAGTATTCAGAAAATGGGCTATACATTGGGATTGGTTTATGTGCGGTACTTCTAGTCATCCTTATTTTGGCTCTGTTCCTCACTAAACGTAAGTACTTTTCACAGGTGGTTATTCAAGGATTGGTCAGGTACGTCTAATCACAGCTGTGGCAGATGCCACATGTCTTCTGCTTCAGGGAAGTGAGCTGAGGTCTCTGGATGGCCTCACTCTGTGCCCTCCGCTGTGGTTGCTTGTTCAGCTCTCCCCCTTAGCCTCTGGGGCGCAGAACAGCAAGGTGCCAATGTGGTCTTGTCATTTTATGTCTCAGACTCCTTAGCAACCAGCCAACCCATGGTCTGGTGAAGAGATGCGTGATACAAGTCCACCTCCCCTGCCCCACTCGCTTCTTCCTACCCATTCCTCAGTTGCCTTGTTGTCCCACTCTGTCCCAGTGGGTGCGGCATTGGTTTCATATAACTATATCCAATATTTTTCGATGTGCCAGACTCTCTCCATAGAGGCTCTTGGTCAGACCAAGCCATATGAATTAGATCTTATGGAAATAACTGGGATTTCTTATACTGAAAACGTCTGCTTAAAGTTCCCCTATTTAGTTTCTTATACTTGAATTTTTTTTTTTTGAACCTGCTACTCTACTTGCTTCTGATGGTTTAAAGAAAATTCTTTGTTTTCTTTTTTCTTTATTTTCATTCTGGATGGTCCTTAGAATATTTATACAATACTAAGAAGATGGGTGGCTTTGCAAAGTAAGTATTCTGTTTCTGCTTTAGCTAATAGGACAAACGAGGTTGCAGAAAGAAAATGTTGTAAATATGCTGACTGCTCCACCACATACTTTGACTTTCTTTTTTAATCTCAAGTTAATAGGAAACATTGCAAAAAGAAATTAATAAATCCTGCTACTTATCATTAGTTAGTAAGCAAAAACGAGTATAACTGTCAGTTCATTGCATTAGGAAGCATGCAAACTTCCAAGTGTGGATTTTCCCATAAGTGGAAAAATTATTTATTATCAGTCATGTTTAAATAAGTGGGTTTGCATATTCTACATTTTTCCAGTGAGCTGGTTGATTTAGCTATTTGCTCTTCTGTGTTTCTATTTTCTGGTTTTTTTGTTTAACAGCATGGTTTTTACTCTTTTGTGCAGCTTTGTTGCATATTGGAGACCAGAACGTGCAGGGAACCATAGTGCCCTGGAAGATGAGATCCATGCAGAGGAAAACATTTATATAATACACTAAAGACTGTATACATGCTTGCCTTTGTCGTTGCTGGGACATTAAATAGTTTGCAAAATGTTAGCTGCTCCCTCTGCTCAGCAGCTAAACGTGACCGGACTACTGAAGCATTATTCACATCATTCTAATAAAACAAATAAAAGCTACACTTTTTAATTAAAACTTTATCAGCCTGTTCCAGAAACAAAAACCCTACTGGCTTGAATGGAAATTTCCAGAATCTGCTTATCAAACCCTAAAGAAAGTTACCATTATATTTATTATCTGCTTCAAATTCTGTCTTCCTTTTTGGAAAAAAGAGGAAGTGCCAAAATGGCTACTCTATCACAAAAGGAAAACCACACATGTTTTTTAAATGTTTGTCTTTACTGTGTATTGTATCTGCCATCTACAAAAAAGTTCATGCCGTCAGAGGGCAGAAGCAATCTCATAGCTGCCATGACAAAGATGACACATGGAAAAACTTGGTAGTATTAGTATTTCAATGTACATTTATTTTAATTTTCATTGAAGTCAGGTATACCCAGTCATGGTAACAGCTCAGTAATGCAACGTACTAATTCCTGTCCACCCACAGTTAAATCTGGAGGAGCTGTTGATGCTCACCCCCTCATGGGATGTCCTCGGAGCCTACAGAGTCAGTACTTCAATGTACAGAATATTCACAGCTTGTTTTCAGAGAACTATGACTAAATGTGTTTTCTTCTGCAAAATATGTCACTTTTTCTGTGGCTTTCTCCTCACGCCCACCTATGCCCTGAGAAGTCCTCAGGGTGGAAAGTCTCACTTCCAGGCCTCTAAAACAACTGAATAAAAAATAACTACTCTGTAAAATTAATTAAATTCTTACTTTTCTTAGTTTGTGGTGAAGTCTTGGACATTGCACAAAATATTGGCTGGAAGTTTGCCTTGCCTTTACACCCCTCTAGATACCAAACAACTCTAATGGCTTATGCTGGATTTGTTTGATGGCTTTTAGCTCATAAATGGGGAGTGTCTGTGGCCTCGCGCATTTCCTCTATTGCTCCTCAGTTAGAAATGGCTCTCGGCTTTTATTCTCTGCAACACTAAACTTTGGTTTACTTAAAATAAATAAATGGAGGCAGCCCTATGAGAATGAATCAACGTTTTATGCATTGCTGAGCAATAGACACAACACACCCAAATCAGCTTTAAGTGGAAGAATAGTTTTCCCCAATCGTTTTTAAGAATACATTTTTAAACAGAGGCTGGGGACTTCCTGAAAGAGCAGAAGAGTAGTACAGGCAGGAGAGAGCCCAACTCTTACCAAGTATTGGTCAGTACAAATTTTGCCTTGAAGCTCATCCCAAGCAGCAATGTAGAATACCTAAAGCAGACATTGCTGCCACGGGGAAGACTCACAGACTTACCGCAAACTTTCTATCAAGTTCATCATTTTCAAGGGAGTCATGCAAAGAACAAAGCTATGTTATACAATGAGGCATAACGGAGCAATAACAAAATCAGTAGGTATTTATGTTAACAGCTGAGACACTTGAGGCCACGGTCTGGTTGTGCTTTAAGGGGAACTGGGGTCAGTGGAGCAGTTACCCCTCCTTCCCCCAGCTGGTAGAGATGTGAGGGCTTGAGCTGGCTGGGGAGGGGAGCGTTTTCCCCCAGGAGCCCTGGAAAGCCTGGCTAAGGTGGGATATTGCAGGTGAGTGTGCTTGCAAAGAGTCACAAAGGAGGGAAAGTCTCCTCATCCTGTTGAGGAAGGAAGAAATGGAAAGCAAGTTGGGATAGGTGACCCTGGTGCGCTTTTTATTTTCACTTGTGCTGTGCGTTGTCTTGGGGCTGTCTGTTGGAGCAGGCCTAAAAGGTTGAGAATGCGGAGGTGAATTGATGGTTGACTGAAGAGCTCGGTGTGGGAGCACAGATATTAGGTGATTACTGATCCCTGGGCCAGGAAAAGCAATGGAGGAAACCAGCTCTGCCATTTTCTATGTTCATGTCACGTGTTGCTTTGTAAGAGCATACCGAAACTAGAAGGGACCTGCTGGTGTCAGACTGTATTTTTGCATTTGACTAGCAGTGACAATTATTAAACTAAAATTACTGACCCTACTGCAGACGTTGCTTTCCTTCTGCCTGGCTGAGCATGTTGCTGCTGTGGGCTCTAGCTCATGACTGGAGCTGGAGGAAGTCTGATCCGGTCTGTGAACTAGATCTCAGAAAACATCTTCAGCAATTTCTGCTTTCTGCAATTTTACCAAACCAATCTCTACTGGGATCAGAGTTAGACAAGTGTGGGGCTTCCAAAATTATCTGATTCCAACCACTCATGCTCTTAAGGAGTCTGAGGACTATCCTTAAGACTGCTAATCATGAAAACTGCTTGTCCATAAGGATTTTTTTTCTTAATATTACAAACCAATTCAGATTAATTCTTATATCAGCGAGTTTTCCATGTAAAATAAAGTTCTAGAATATCTGATAACCAAAATCTTGATTAAAGTTTCCTTTCTGCTGTGCAGTTACTTGGTAAATAGACTTTGCAAAGGTTGTGTGGAGCAAGAAATTCACCTTGGATATGCAGTATAATAATACAAATACATGCAGGCAGAAGCTCTCTGTGCTTTTTCATTGCTTCCACTTGTGTCAGTGGATCTTGAACAGGCATTTCAAAATGAGACCCACAGATGAGCACGTGGCACTTGGACCTGTTCACCCACTAAGAGATTAACCAGCTGCACACGAACTGGCAGCACATTGAGTGTGATAAGGCTAAGGAGCTGCAAACTGATTTTTTTGAGACAGCTCTCTGCCTTTCCTTTTCTGCCTGCAAGAAGCCACTAGATAGCAGTACAGAAGCAGAAGCAAGGCACATTTTTCTGGTTCTTCCCAGCACACTTGGGTTTTGGGTGGCCTTTCTCTATTCGCTCTGCTGCATTTAGCCTGGTCTTGCTAAAGAAACAAAGCTGACATGATGCTGTGTTAATCCTCTTCCTCCCCTGGTCACCTGCAACATACTATCCAATTCTGTTTTGACAAGCTTCATGGAAATTGGTAGCTGGATAATGCTCCAGATTTGTGCCCCAGGTGGGATTCAGCTGCTCCCTGTACTGGCATCAGCTGGGCATGGGCTCGCAGCCACTTCTTAATGGTGAGCGATGGGAGACAAAGGAGAAACTGGGATCATTGCAGCAAAAAGTCTCCAGGATACTAGACACATCAGGTTCCTTAGTTCTGTTCACAGAACAGCTGGGGCTGTGTGTACTTGGCATTGTATGAACTGTACCTGGTAGAATATAGCAAATTAGCTACTTTACCAGTTGCTGGTTAACCTGCCTTATAATGGTGACAATAGGACACTGCTGTATTGTTGTGTCTATCCCCACTGGTTGCTATTTATGCTGCAATGAAGCATGTGAAGGTACAGAGCAGCATTCCGGCATCACTTTGACTCAGAATAATCTCAGAATAGTTCTCTGAGCTTCATACTGCTTGAATCTGCCACTAAGTTGGCTACAGCAGCATCAGTTGGCCACATCCTGGCTTTGCTGGAGCCTAGTCTATTGGAGATCTACTTCTTGCCACTATAACGAAGTGGTGGTCCGATGGATGAGGATGCTAATCAGAGGTAGCCTCCTACTCCAAGGTACTATCGAGTCCAACAGGTCTGCAAGCACAAGAGTCCTTCTCTGATGCTGTGTTGGGGGGGATATCGAATCCCTCTCCAATCTTCCTGTGCTACTCAAGATTTTGTAGATCTGTTCATGGTGCCCCTTAGGTTATCTCTTTTCCAGACTGACTCATCTTTGACTACCAATCTAATTTTCCTGTGGAAGCTCTTCCATACTTTCCACCATTATTTTTGCCCTTCCTGGGACCCTTTCTGGATCTAAGATATGCTTTTGAAGGGACTAGAACTATACATAGAATCCAAGGTAGATTTGTACGGTGGTGTAATGCTGTCTTCTGCTTTGTTTTCTATGGCTTTATTAATAACTGCTAAAATTTGATTTGCTTTTTTCAATGCTACCAAGCAGAGGGGTGATATTTTCATGGGCTTGACTACTCATGATAAGCCCAAAATCTCATTCCTGAAGGGGTAATGTCTGGTTAAAGCCCATCATTTTATCATTTAAACTTGGAATTGCTCTCCTGTTTGCACCATGCTACATTTATTTGCACAGAATTTTCTCTATCTGCAATTCTTCATTCCTGACCTTAATGTCCTGAATTACTTTTGCTTTATTACTCATCTTTTCCAGAGAAGAACTTCCAGAAAACTTCTTTATCAATTGGTCAGAAAGTAAAAAAAAGTCAGAAAGAGTAAAAAATGCTTTTTGGAGATGGTGTTGCAGATCTTTGGGAAGGACATTGTTTTGGCAAGAAAACATTTGTGAGAGTTCCTCCAAGGCTGTCTTTGCAAATAGAAAATATGAAGCTGGGGAAAGAAAGAGAGGGGTCTTCAAGCAGAAGGCAGAATCAGGGGAAATGAAGGGATTAAGAAAAAGTAAGCAAAGACAAAGTCAGAGGTGGAGACTAAGCCAAATGTTTAGAAGTGTAAGAGCACAGAGCTTGTTCTTGCTGCTCAGCACCGCAGAATGATAATGGGCCTTAAGAGTTCCATGGAAAGGCAAAACAAATAGTATATTGAAATCTCTGATGGCAGTGCCATGCTGAAAGTCTTGGAAGAGGAAAGGAGAATAGGACAGAATGGGATAGGATAGAATGGGGTAGAATAGAATAGTTCAGTTGGAAGGGACCTACAACAATCATCTAGTCCAACTGGGCTGACCAAAAGTTAAAGCATGTTATTAAGGGCATTGTCCAAATGCCTCTCAAACACTGACAGGCTTGGGGCATCGACCACCTCTCTAGGAAGCCCCTGTTCAAGTTTTTGACCACCCTCTCGGTGAAGAAATGCTTCCTAATGTTAAGTCTGAACCTCCCCTGGCGCAGCTTTGAACCATTCCCACGCATCCTGTCACTGGATCCCAGGGAGAAGAGCTCAGCACCTTCCTCTCCACGTCCCCTCCTCAGGAAGCTGTAGAGAGCCATGAGGTCGCCCCTCAGCCTCCTTTTCTCCAAACTAGACAAACCCAGAGTCCTCAGCTGCTCCTCATTGGACCTGCCTTCCAGCCCTTTCACCAGCTTTGTTGGCCTCCTCTGGACGCATTCAAGGACCTTCACATCCTTCTTAAATTGTGGGGCCCAGAACTGCACTCAATACTCAAAGTGAGGCCGCACCATTGCTAAATACAGCAGGAGAATCACCTCTTTTGACCAGCTTCTATCCGGAAGCGTAGGAAAGAAGCAGTTGCGGTACATAAGATCTGGAAATGGAGAAACGAGACTTCAGTGGGGCTCACTCAGCATCTCTGGAAAGTATAAGATCTAGTTTTCTCTCCTTCCACTCGCTGCCCTGGGGTCTCCGTCAGCTAAAATGTCCCATTTTGTGCTGTTTCACTGGATTATGATACAGATCTTTATAGGTGAGTCTTCACCTGCTTTTTGTGTGCTTGCTCAGAAAACAAGAATTTTGTAAAATTAAAAACAATGACACTTGTTTTGTGAAAACAAAACAGTGAAAAAGGTTGTAATTGTATATAGAACTTCAAAAGTTTTCTTAACTTACTGAGTTAATACTGATCTATTGGTTGAGAATTTTTTTTTTTTTTCCTCTTTTTAAAAATGTTTGTGGTCTCCTCTGTGTATAGGCTTGGTTAGTTCCCCTGTCTCCCCAAATTATCTAACTTCTTTACTACTGTTAAATGTGTACTGCTGGCTTTGCTTTTTCATCTGTCTCTCCACCACGCTACAGTGCTGACACAGCCCAAGCTAGGGAATTGGAATATTGAGAGAGTAATGAATGTACATACATGATAAAGAAATGATTTTCTGCAACTCTGAAGGCTGTCTGCTGCTATGAACTGAGTATGAGAAAGCGCGGCTGGAGATTCCTCTCCTTTTACTCCCAAGTGTTCAGTTCACCCATCTAAAATCTGAATCCTAAAAAAGATAGAAGTCAAAGAAGAGTAACTTGGGAGGCTGGGTCTTGCAAGCATGGTTGGTATCGGCTATGTTTCTGCACGCGCATTTAGGCATCAGCAATGCAGTTCCCAAATTGCCTGAGGTTGCTCAGGAATGTGAGTTCACCCCCTTTCAGCGGGGCATGAGCTCCTAATGAGAGTTGTGCTTTTAAATCACTTAGGCATTTCAGGAAATTCTGTCTCAGATGAGTAAATATTAATTGGCTAACCTCTGCCAGGATGAAATATTACGTATAACATCTACAGCAGCTGCGATGTTCTCAAATTGATGTGAAAAGTAGTGGAAAAGTTTGGTCAGCGGCAGGATACACTGAGTGGCAAGAGGTGACCCATGCCCCGTTGAGGCAAGGTAACACAACCTCCACGGTGTCTGCTGTGCAAGTGGACCTTCGCTGGCACTTTGCTGCAGCCCAGGGAATTCCATAATATTTTTTGTCTTTTGCCAGTCTCAGCAGAAGAAACAGGAGGGCTTTTTCCTTGCCATATCTTCAGCCTCAAAATAAATTGGAGGTACACGCCTCCATTTGGTCTTATTTTCAAAAACTTCCTTATATGCAGAGCTACTGAAGGATGAGAATAGCTCTTTGTTACCTTCTCTTTAACTCGGCTCAGCGCTGAGAATGAATAGTCTTGAGACTCAGGAAACCAGCCCAGTGGGCAGTTAAATGCTTCTTTTCTGTTTATCAGTCATTTTCTCTTTCATTTCAATTTCATCACCTTCAAGAAGAAATAAAAAAAAATAGGGTTGATGGGGAAAAGATGCCAAGTATCTTCTACAAAGAAGAAAAATTATTCCAGAAATAGATCAAGAAAAAAATTCTTTTTCAACCAGCTGTCTTGGCTGGAGGATGTATGTCTTTGTCCATCCAATGACCAGTCTACAGGAGAGAAGACCACTACAACAGCAACTGTTGGAGTTACTGCTTAACACCAACTGTCACTGAGCGTTGGTTCAAGAGAGACTATATATAAATATGTGTATATCTGTATGATCTGAACAATTATGAATACCCCTTTCTATTTTGGAAGATATATTAAACATCTGGAGTCCATTTCTCTCTCACTTGGGTTAAGGACTTAGAGTGGCAAACCTCAGTGACTTCAGTGGGACTACCCAGGTATAGCTGATGCCCAGGGTGCCTTGGGTCAAATCTGGATGCCATGGACAAGGGTAGATTCCTCTCACAGTAAGACTAGGGTGTCACAATGTAACAGTCTCAGGAACCTCTTAATTTCAAAGACATGTTCATTCAGTCCTATTTACTATTTCTTTTGGAAAATGTGTCTGTGGAAGAGGCTGCAACTGAGAAGGGAGTTATTTAGTCCTTGCAGAGATTCATACTATTGAATCAAGGCTGTTGCAGTATTGAAGATTTCCATACCAACCTGCAATGCAGGCAGATGTTAGCAACATTAGCTTCACATAAATTAAAAGAGGATTTGAAACTGCAGAACTTGTAACTTTCTAGCACCAATACTGGTGGGAAACTGCACTGGAGACACTCTGGTGCCTTGTGTCTTCCCTCTTCTTTTTATTTATTTATTTATTTATTTAATAAGTTCAAGGCTCTGCTTCTTTCAAAGAGAAGAGCAGGCAAGTTTTCATTTGTTAAAGGGTTCCTTAATGAGGCTGCTTTTGTGCTGTGCAGGACTGGGATGAAATAAGAACAGAAGATGAGCCCATTTCTCCTCAAGCAGCAGTGACCTTAACTCCAGGAATAGCTCAAGCTGGTCTTGGTTTTGCACACATCTTTGTTGGGGTGACTTGAAAGTATGGGTTAACTCGCCCAGCGACTAACCCCCTGCTCCCCTAGGGATACTTTCAAGGTCAACTGCATGAACTGTTTTGTTCTGTCATCAGATAAGGAGGCTGTTTTCTCTGTTTGTTTTGCTGTAACAAGGCAAACGAACCTACCCTTTCCGAGGACTAAAACAAGCAGCCATCTTGCAAAGCCTTATCCTGTATTCAGGAATTCATTTTTTTGGCACATCCTACCTTCATTTCACTGCAAAAGCTTCTGCCCTTCACACCATATTGCATGTTGTTTTGTCTGCCTCTACTCTTTCAGCATTTGGAGCTGTGGAAACCTGAACGAGTTGGCTTATCTTGCCAATGGGATAAGCAATAGTGAAGCTGAAATGTCATCCCAATAACAAGTCATGAGGCAAACTGCCACAGACTAAAACCTCACCTGGGGAATAGTCCATTAAAGACAAAACAAAAGAGACATGGACACAGTTGGAAGCATCTGTTTGCTATCTGGGAGTCATGCCAAAAAGAAAAGGCATTCAAACCGCTGGCAAAATAGAAATGTTTGGCAAACCAGGGCCAAAGCTGGTGATAATAGCAGCAACTGCTGTAAATTCTCTTTGGGGTAAGCAAGCGGGCCATGAGACATCAAATCTGCGGGATGATCCTCTTGCTGCAGCAGAGGACCAGATCTAGATGCTGCCCAGGTCCCTCAGTTCCGGCTCCACCACATGTAAATTATAACATGGGGGGAAAAGGCAACAAGGTAGGAGGACCGACACAGGGCAAATGAATGTAAACCAGAAAAGATTTGTTCCTCTATGGGAACCTTTTTTGTGTAGTGCCTTTCATGAAGAAGAAATCCCTTTTAGGGCAATCTGGGAACTGCATAGACAGGAGCGAACAATATGTAGCAAAGACTCAAACCAGATGCTAAGGTGGGTATTGGCTGTAAAACACCAAGTAAAGCTCGTCGTTAAGAGTAAGAGCACAAGGAAAGCATGCATATGCTCTTTTTAACATCAGTATAAAGCTAGCAACTAAAGCTTCTATGTACACAGTGCTCTGCAAGGTAAGTGGGATAGTTGGCAGGGCTTGCTCAGAAACAGAAAAAGCAGTGCACTTTCTGAGAACAGGTTCCCGTAGACAGATCCCACTGCTATGCCAGCTTAATTAGGTCCTAATTTCACACATGAATAGGTATTTTGGACCCTGCTATTGAGACTGTCAGTGAAAGGCAACTATTACAACGTTTCCTTTTTGAAGGAGATGATGGGGGACTGAGAAAACCAGATGTATTTCACACCAGGTTTCTGAACAACTTTCAAACTGTCTCTTAGGAGAGGAGATGGGATGGGAGCAGAGTTCCCAAATTCCATTTGCACAGCTCAAGTCTGCGCTCGGGCTGCCAGCGACAGACCTCAGCTTTGCTCACCGCGTGTTTGATGTGAGCGATGTATTTTGTGAGCGGCCCTCCAGCAGCTGGCCGGGGCCAGAGCATGGAGCCCTTCAGCAGCAAGCCAAGGCCTGCGAGCTCCTGGCCGTTGCCTGCAGTGGCCCAGGCCATTAGCTGCCGCGGGCTCCAGGGGAAGGCTTGGGGGATCAGCAACTGCAGGCAGGAGCGTTTCTTTTCCTGCCTCATTGTGTTGCATAAGCAGAGTCATGCATCAGAGACTGCCCACGCTCATCTTTCCTTGTTCTGCCTTGACAGCGCACGCCGCATCCGAAGCTGTTGTTAGAGGAGTAATAGGGCAACCTGTTCTGTTGCCTTGCATCTACCAGGTGGCACGACATAAGGACATCTCTGATATGTGCTGGGGCAGAGGCCCGTGCCCAAATTCAAAGTGCAATAACAAAATTTTGCACACCACTGGGAATAGGGTGACATTCAGAAAATCTCAGCGATACAGTCTCCTGGGCTATATTTCCTATGGAAATGTGTCTCTCACGATTGGGAAAGTGAAGGCAGAAGATGCAGGTACATACTGCTGCCGCATAGAGGTCCCGGGTTGGTTCAACGACATCAAACGGAACATACGGCTGGAGGTGACCAGAGGTGAGTTTGGGGACCTTTGTGATACAGCCAGCAGGGAGAAACCTCTCACTGGGTAGGAGTTTAAAACTGGAGTTTATGTGTGCTTTGTTTGTTTGCTTGTTTGTTTTGGCAAAAAGTGTTTTTCCTAAATTATGTAGTTTTCAAGGGAGGTCTGCAACCAGTTGCCGATTTGAATCACACTCAATGAGCAGTTTTGGTGAGAAGATAGTAACTTTTACCCTTTTTTTGCCTTTCAAATAAAATATTTAATTTCTCATTGTGTAGCTATATTTGACGTTTTAAAAGATGATGGAATTAAAGAAGGGATTTATCATTTGAAGAGCCCTTGGAATGAAATTCAGTTTTTTCATTTGGGGTTCACCCCAACACCAAAAAGGCTTTTGTTTGGTTCATGTTATAAGGAGACCCATGTGTTTACAAATTTTTTCTCAGAGTCTTGAAGGACTTTTTCCCCTTCCTATTATTTTGCTGAGCTGCAGGATAAAGTAAGAGTCTTACAAAGTCAAGAGGAGGCTGAAAAGCATTGCAAAGCACAGAAAAAGAAAAGATGGTACCCACCCTCCACACTGCAGAAAGAGAAATTTTTTTTTTAATTTTACAGGGTGTTCAGGAGTGCAATTGGTGCTGATGTACACAGCACTCTTGTAGGCCTGTTGTAAGCGATACAACAGCAGAGGGGAGGGAAAATTCTGCAATCCCATGTCTATCCCTGAGTTTGAGGGCAATAGAGTTCATAAAAAAGGACTCCGTTGAAAAGATTAGTAAGGAGCCTGTAGCTGAAAATCGAGCTATTTTATTAATTTTATTTTTCATCACAAAGTTTGCAAGTTTTTGGGTTCCACCACACAAGGTTCTGGCCCTTCCATTTCTGTAAGAGGGTCAAGGAGGGGGTGTTTGAAACCTACCAAAAAAAAAAAACCCAGCAAATCTGTAAATCTGGAAATTGCTCTGGCTGGGGTATGTTTTCTGCTAATTAAACAACCTTTTTAAATAGTGATTCTCCCACCTTCATTCTCAGTATTTTAGCAGCTAGATAATTTTCATTCCTTTCTGAGTTGACTTTCCTCAGGGTCGGTTGTGAATGGTCTGATCTAGCTTTTCTCTCGGCTATGTTTTTTCTATGCAGCCCCTCCAGTGATGACAACCACCACGAGAAAGGCTCCCGTTTCCCCCAAACGTTTTAGAAAAACAACATTTGCTCCCCAAGCAACCTCTGATCATCAAGCAACAGCAGAGACTGCTGTCCTCCTGACAACCACCCTCCCCGAAGCCACAACTCCAACCACCGATCAAACAACAGCAGCGACTGCTGTCCTCCTGCCAACCACCCTCCCCGAAGCAACAACTCCAACCACCGATCAAACAACAGCAGCGACTGCTGTCCTCCTGCCAACCACCATCTCCCCAGCAACAACTGCAACCACTGAGTCTCCAGCAGTAATTACACTGGAGACCATTGCTCCCCCAACATTTGCTGTGACAGCAGATGATAATTCTCCAGCAACTATGGTGACAACCAGTGCTCTCCCAGATTTTCCAACTGGTTTCCAAGCAGCTGACATGAGGACTGAAGGTGACGACGTGTTCTGCTCAGCAGAGTCCGTCCCTCTTCCTGGAGGTAAAAGGGTAACCAGCACCAGTCCTTTCTTTTTTCTGTGTAGCAGATATGGTCTGTGTTAGCCTGACTCTGGCATCATAGAGACTTTCCAGATAGTTTTTATTTGTATCTGGGAAGTTTTTTCCGAGATGCCTATAGGTATGTCTCAGTAGGTTTAAGGAAACACAGGTCAAATGTTGTGGATGATGCCAAACCGGGGTGAATGGCCAAGATAGCTGAGGGTCAGGCTTGCATTCAGAGGAGTTTTAACAGGCTGGAGAAATAATGTGACAGAAACCTCACGAAGTACAACAGAAATAAATGCAAAGTCCTGCACCTGGGATGGAGTAAGAGAGATTCACTCAACTATGCACTAATTTTTTTCTTGATTTGGGAAAGACAATTGAAATGGTCTGCTAAAAAGGTTAGTTTAGAGCATGTTCTGCTTGAGCAATAAAAGCAGTGAGAATTCAAAACATGCTTAAAATTGAATACTTACATTGTGATCCCATATGAAGGCTGCTGTTATTATTAATATTTAGTTGACCAGAGTGACCTATTATCATCCTAACCATTCCCAAGTTGCTACTTTATCCATATCAGTGACTTCTTTTCCACAGATTGATGTCTGCACACAAGGCTGGTTTTTGTACATTTTTTGCGTGTTCTATCACTTGAAGTTCTTTCTGACCTGAACCTCTGAAGACAACTTTTCTGTATCATCTCTTGTTTTCCAGCCATAACAACATGCCCCAGTTAAACTTGACAACAACTAATTACATGCTAGTAAAGCACATCAGTTATCTGGGTAGGATGAGCTGCAGACATGAAAACCGAGGTGCAGATTTTCACCTCTTAGTTGCAGATGCAGAACTGTGCAAGCAATTTTGAAAGCCTCATGAAGACCCTCCTAATCAGTGATCTTTATAAGCGTTACTTTTTACTTTGTTTCAGTGACTACTGAATTCCCAGGTACATTTCTGACTGCAGAGGGAGCTAAAAGTGCTAACACTTCTCTCATGGTGGAAGACGTGCCAACTACAGGTGAGTAGGATAATGTTGCAAGAAGTTGCATGTTCAGAGAAATGAAGAAGTTGTCATGAACAAAAGTATTGACTGTTCTTAAGAGTGTGCCAAATGCATACTGATAGCTATTCATTGCATTTGGAAGTAGGAGGTATCTGGGGTCCACACAGAAATTGTTTGAAATCAGGATGTAACAAAAGCTGAGAAAAACATGTTTTTAAGCCTCCAATGGAGATTTTGAGTCACTCACTGCTGTTGGGTATCTCAGGTCTGAGAAGTTAAGAACTTGTAACCATCCAAGCTGAATTCTCAGATACCCGATTTGTCATCACTGCGAGTTCTTTGAGCTTTCCATTTTAAATCCTCCCTGAGTGTTGTGAGCTTTGAACCTCACTGAATATATTCAGTCAGGTGTGGCTGCAGGCTCAGCTCTCCGGTGCTCAACTTGTGTCCTTGGTCATGACGGAAAGCAGGAGGTAATTACCACAACTATCATTCCTTCAAGAGAAAAGAAACTGGTATACAAAATCATACCATATCTGAGAAATGAAAAAACTTACATGAAGTTTGCACTTTATGTCTCTCAGTCAAGTGGCTCAAGTTATTCAGGTGTGATGGTCTGCCCACCAGATGCCCTCAAATGAGGACTTAAAAAAATGGAAAGCTAAAACTCAAGGATGACATGTCATATTTGGCTGTTAAGAGTCCTTTTAGTTTCAACTAGCGCCAAGAATCTCTTCATTCTTAAAAACACAGTATTTAGATTTTTGCAGGTCTTCTTTTGCTAGACCTAGAGACTTGCAGCAGTAATGGAGTTTAAGAAACTGTTCCTTAATGCCCCTGGAGAGGGCTCACAGAAGAGACTAAACTGGTCTCTTGAGCATTTCTGAGGGTATCTCACCCCTGTCTCACTTGTCATCTTTCTGACATAGTTCTGGATAATGCCTATATTCTACCATTTAAATAGGAAGTTTTGCAAAGGGTCTTACCTCTGCGATTCTGGGGGCAACTTAAGTTGCCACTGTGGGCTAGAAAGAACCACCACAAAAGCAATAACAGCAGAAAACGTACCGTGCTTATGTGAGTCATGTACACTCCAACCCGTGCAAAAACTTGTGTCATGCTATTTCCGAGAGCCAAACTGTCATAATGTGTGAAAATGCTGCAGCATGATTGAGTACTGTCTAGTAAGAGCCATAAGCCAAGTTAAGTTCTTGACTCAGTCTTCTTTTACTCTGTGAAATAATGTACTAAATGAACCAACTTCAGCCTTATTGTAATGCAAGGGAAGGCTAATTTGTTGCTGAACCCTGTATTGATGTTAACACAGCGGCTGGGAGAGAAACCATGGCTGAGAGAGCCCTCCATCTCCAAGTGCAATTCTTGCCAGACAGGTTGGGTTAGCTGGGGCGGCTGGGTCCAGATATAGTTTCTCTTCTGTCTTCGCCTGCTTTTCCCCAGCAATAACCCCTCCGGCGCCAACCGTGCTTCAGACCAAAGAGAGAACCCCTGCTCCTTCAGGTATGGAAAGTAAGCAGCAATAGTTGCTCCCATCAGCCAGGCTGCAGCATGCTGCCAGAAAGTTTAATTTTGACTTGTGGGACGTGCATGTCAGAGTGAGATGCACTTCTTGTGTACTTGGGGGTAGTTCTGCTGAACTACAGTTCTCTTCTCTTCTCTTCTGAGAGAAGGAAAGAGGGGTGTCATAAAACAGGCATATGGCAAAACGCAATGTTCACGTATCCCTGGGATTTTTAGCACTTGCTAGGGTTTTATTGCCTATATTTGTTTAGCTGTAGTGCTTATTAGCCATAATTTCTTTTCTACTCCAGTGCAAATTTCTAGCTACAGTTGCATGCATATGAGCTAGCTGTGCCCTGTCCATGTCTTTGATAAAATCCAAGCATATTTTTTGGTACATGGAGACAAATCAACTCAGCTCTCAGAGAGAGCTGATCAGAACTTAAGAATTTGGGGGAGATTAGGTTATTCACTGAACAACATACTCTGAAAAGTTAACAAAAAAAAAAAAGAAGAAAAAAAGCAATTTTTTTTTTCTAATGGGATTATTTGTGACCATCTGATCACCCCCATCACCATGTGACATTCTGGGTGTCTCATGCATATAAAGTTTCCTTTGGCTGTGGTCTTGGGCACCACAAGCGTGTTACGTATACATGTAACAAATGACTCATCTGGTCCCTGGTACATTTTGCTCAGATGGAGGCTCCGTGGTTGTTCTCTTGTCAAACCTTTGAAAGCACTACTCATCACAGTCTTTCTATACATTAGGGCATGACCTAAGGCATAGGAGCTTTCCTGTCATAGCATGTAAGCTGAGGTTTTGATTCACTGAGCTGAGTTGACTCCTCTGGTTTTAAGATGCTGCTAAACATTGGGTGGTTCCTGTGATGGATCAAGTGGTCCAAATACTTAAATGCTTCAGTACTTTGTAGCATGAGGCCATGATGAGCCAAGCCTATATTAACTTTTTATGACTTTAAATTCACTAGCAAAAGTAAGAAAGTAGGATCATAGCATAACAGCAGAAAAGTTTGCTGCAAGAGTTCTTGAGCATTCATTTAGTTCATCCCTATTTCCAAAGCTTAGAAAACTAGAAAGGAATTATTCTTAATATCCCTGGATAGAAAAAAAATGCATCATCTTCATAGAGCTTTCTTAAATCTGTGGTAAGTTACCTGAACGTAAAGATGTTTCCTGTGGTTTTCAGTATTAATGCAGCTTTCAAAAACTGCAGTCACACATAAGTCTGACCACAATTAAACTGAGGCAGTTCCTCCACTTAGACTTGTACCTTGTTTACTACCTCTGCTCTCTACGACATCTCGTCATGCTTACAGAAGTGAAAACTTCTTCACAGCAGACAGGTTTCTACTGTCTTGCTTCATGGGCTCTCCCTGGGAAACCTCCTCTTTCCTTGATGAAGACTGACATTTCCCAATGACTGCCTGATATACCATTTGTGGCAGAAACAGATTGTTCTCTTTTGGTTGCAAGGTCTTATTTCTCCTACTCAGGGCCAGATTTTGCCCTCCTCATTCCCTGAGAGTTAATACTCCTTGACTAAAGCAGTGACAACCACAGTGGCCCTCACTCCTTCAGGTGACTGTGCCAGTAATAATTTAAATCTATTTTCAGGGATTTCAGCAAGTTCAGACAGCAAGACTGAGAAACATGATGATAATGGAGATAAGGTAAAACTTCCTCTAAGTTTCAGGAGTGTTCAACTAGAAGCCAGAAGGGCAGCAGGAGATGTTAGTGATTTTCAGTGTATTCGTACTAAAGGGACAGTGTTTGCAAAAAATAGCTTGAACTTTTGTTTAGAAGCTCAAGAACCATCTATTCGTCTTTCCAGTGGATAGAGCCAAAGCCTGTGACCATCCCATCTGGCTTGGACACTTCAGAAAAACCTCATCCCCCTAACACCCCTGTAAGAGAGGCAGAAGTAGCATCCTCGAGGTGTGACCAGGCAAAAGGCAACTTAGGAGGGTTGTTACGCTTCCCTGTCTCTAATTAAGAGAAGGATGAGGGTGACTAACCTCCTACTTTAGACACCTTATTAAGAAGTTCATGTTAAGTGGGATGAATCTAGGCTCAAATGCTTCAGAAGAAGATTTATTAAATACTTAACAGATAATTCAGGTTGTTTATCATGATCAACCTGATGTGTCTTCTCCACACTTTGTACAGGCAAGCTCAGAAAAGCATTGCAAACTGCAGCCCAATGCAGATATTTCGGAGCTCGTAGCCTCTAGGGCAACCCACTTGTGCGTGAATAGGTCTGAAGTAAACATGCTTCTAAAGCCTTTTCAGTTTTTCTCTTCTCCCTTCCAGTTTCCCAGCTATGCCATTCTCATTGCCTGCCTCATCGTGGTGTCCATTCTTTTCATATTGATGCTCTCGTTGTTGTTTTGGAAACGTAAGTATCCCTAAGCACATAATTGATTAATGTTTCTAATGCTGGCCTAGTGCAGACGTCCTTCTGTATTTCTGGTTAATCTTCTGGTAAATCTGCCACGGCCCCTGTGACAGCACTTTGTTCATTTTATGGGGGTTGCTGTCCTTACTCCAGGGCTGTGTCACCACGAGGAGACCAGGGACCATGAGTTGGTGGGGATGCAGCAGGAGGAAGCCTGTGCAAAGAACCTGTTCACTCACTTGTTGCAGGTCTGGCTCATCTTATTGGCTCTTGCTTTATAGTAAAGTGGTCCCATAGTTTTCCTGGAATTGCTCCTGGCAGACATTGGTGTAACTTAAACCAGAATGAGATCCTTCCTTTCCTGCTTAACCCACAGAAATTTTGCAACTTGCTATCTTTGCTTCTGAACTCATTTGACAGATTCATTAGAATTATAGGTTTCTTTTTGCCATTGTGACATTAATATTATTTTGCTTCTAGGTAAACACACAAAGAAGTTTATAATAAAAAGGTAATCCATTTTGTAATTTCCTATTAAAAGTTCCAATGTAATTTTTCTTAGAGGCAGGAAGGTATTGGCCACTGATTGTAATGGGTGTAGTATTGGCTTGTGGTGCTGACTACCAAAGTTTTATTATGAGCTAGCTGCAGATAACTTCACCCCAGAAAATCAAACAGTGGTTCCTGGATACTGCTTCTGTGTAGCAATGAACAGACATCCAGAGCACTGGAGAACTTCAGCAACTGGTACTTACTGTTATGTAGTGACCCCAGCTTAAGGAAAGACCTAATCTGCTTTATTCTTTGATCAAATACCAGGGCATGACCCTGGTGGGGTTATTTTAAAGAAATGAAGAGATAAATGGTTATGATGTTCAACCGACAAAATGATTGCTCAGAAAGGGATCAGGGATTTACAGACAGTCCTCCATGGAGTGGTAATTCATGCCAATACACAAAGAATGGGCCCCATGAAGGGCACACTGCAGCAATGTGGCAAACCAAGCTTTCCACCACTAGATAACTCTTGCAGCTCTCATGGGGCCACTGCACCCTCTCACACACTCCTTGGGTCACACTGAAGTATCTGAGGTAATAACTGAGGTGATCATTTTGAGCCAGATACGAAATATATATGATGAATCACCCTGTGCAGGTGCAACTGACAAATTCATGTCTTCTGGCTTATCTTGAAAAAAGGGTTTTCTTTAGACAAACCAGTGAAGTAGTAGTCCAGTGAAGTTATCATCCCTTTGCCAAAGACCAATAATTTTTCAATGGTAGATGGTCCCCCACTGCATACCCCACCTAGGAGATAAGGATTGGGGGCCAAGGAGGGACTCTTCTGAATCCCATGGTGCTTACTCTACAGCTGTCATCATAAGATCTGAACAGCACTTTCCTATCCTAGCAAGGTAAATACTTCTCTGGTGTAAAAAGTAGGCATTGCCCCATTGAAGTCAGTGGGCTCAGTAGCTTCTGGTCTCCTTTTCAATGGGAATTTGCCGACATTACAAATAAGAAAGGATGCTCTGAAGCAGCAATGTGCTTTTGCCCCATCTATAGTGATCTGTGCTTCTCACTACAGCCTTGGACCAGCAGAAGACCTTGAAAAGGTTTTCAGTGGCGCTGAAGGAGAAAACAGCATTTTTTCCCTGTGAAGAGCTCCTACATCATCTGTAGATGCCACTGAAAATAAAAAGGGCCTGTTTCATGCTGCATTGAGAGATGCATATGAGCCCTCAAAATATCAATGGGTGTAAACCAAAGGCCAAAGCTTCAACTGTGAAAATTTAAAATCTTTGTGCAAATTTTGCCGTGTTGCCTTTAAAACTCATTGCATAAAGAAGCTTTTTTGAGAAGGTGCTTTATACATTATTCATAGGTGTTTCTGGTATCTGCCTTCTTAGTAATACCATGTTACAGAATTGAATTTGTTTTTCTCTATTTTTACTAATGCTCTTCCTTGAATACAACTTATACTGTGAGGAACAGAAGAGAGAAGAAATAACATGGAATGCTGCCTAACTTCAAATTGCAAAAAAAAAAAAAAAAAAGAAAAAAAATCAGCAAATACAGTTCTTATTGCTTTTATATAATCAAGAGAAAAATTAAGCCACAGGAATGCTGTGAGTATAAATCAAAAATGCAGATAACTTAAAGGGTACCAACGCTGCCTGTGATTCAGCATGTTTGAACGACCCTTGGAGACTATGTTAATAAAATTTGTAATTTACCGCTAGCAATTGTATTTTTTATGCTACATCCTAAGGCATTTGAACAGGAGTTAGTTATTCCCCAGGTGTTGAAATCACTGGTGTGCTGTCTCAGCTCTCCCAAGAAGTACTACAGCATTTCCGGGGGTGGGAAAATGCCAAGAAGACCAACCTGCAGGGAAATTTTTCTATCCTGCCCCCACAAACCCCCATACCATTCATTTCTAAATCCATGTCTCCCCCATCAATGTGCATAGGGGATCCCCAGTTGTTTTTTTGGAGTTGCCTTTTGGTCCTCATGACAACGGGCTGCAAAAATGCAGCCCCAGGGCGCTTAACTTAGGGCCCCAGCACCCAGTCACAGGGTAGCATAATTCCATCTGCCTGGGTTTTGTACGGATGAGGCTGGGATGCCCAGTCCCACCAGTGCTGCCTGCTTGTCTTTTAGAGAAGTTGCAGGTGAGAAGCACAGTGCAGAGCACAGCTACATCTTGGAAACTTGGCTGTCCCTTCAGGTCCCCATGGGAGGTGGGTGAAGCCACCTCAGTGTTTCTGAGCAGCAGGCAAAAATCCTGTGATATCCAGGGAAAGGCTCTGGGGACACTAAAAACAGTGAAGAAGGAGACATGAAGGGTGGCATTCACCTTCTGCTGCTTCTAGTGGGAGAGAAGGACTGAGGGGGAGAACGCTGCTGCTGCTAGGGACAGAAATTGTCCCCAGTCCTTCTCTGCAACAACAAGCTGCCCCCACACTCCTGCCCCATCCTCAGGGACACTGGCAGGACCTGCCATCCCTATTCCCAGGACTTCGATGTGTCAGAGCTGGCAAGCAGGCTGTGGCTGTTCAGCTGCTCAGACATATCCCTGTGTTGTGTTTAGAGCTGACCCTGAGGAAGGGGAGGGTTTGGGCACTGTGGGCTGCATGGGCACCTGTATGGTTAGCAGAGAGGGGCAGCCCGGCTCTGGGCTGTGGATCTTGGCTTGGCCCCGGGGTGCCTGAGCAGGAGGCAGGGCTGCCAGCAGCACAGAGCAGTCCAGGGAAGTCCGAAATCATCCCCATTATCCTCAAGCCCTGTAAATGCTGCCTCTCATTTGACCATGATAGTTCTGCAGCACTAACCTCACCTCTACTCAGCTGGGAAAACTGGAGCCTTCAGGTGGCCGCGGGGCAGATCGGCAGTGTACGGCAGAGCAAAGCCCATCATTTCACCGTGCTAATCACACCCTTTCTGAGGGTGTTCTTGCTTGTGTTTCAGCTGGGCTAGGATTTAGGCTTTAAAGAACAGACTGAGTTGGTAACCAGCCTGGGCGCATCAGTGCGGTGAGACTGGCCATGAAGGCTGGGGGATCGTCTATGGGATATGCTGCAGACCTTCTGTGTGCGTCATTGGGGTCCTCACCAGCTCTGCTGCAGTGACTACGGGAACGGCATGGGAGAAGGTTCAAATCCATGACACTGTTTGTTAGCTCCACTGCCTGGAGTTCACCAGTCCCTGCTGTGGCACTCCAGGCAATGCCAACTTGAAGTAAAAGCACATTGTGGGAATAGCATTTAATCAGAAGAAAACATTGTGTGGCAGATCTGGACTTCCCCACTAGTCATGCTCAGGGCTGTGGTGAGACTTTTTGACTCTGCAGCATCTTCTCACAGGCCATGAGTTAGGGGGAGGTAGGGGAAGTTCCTCTTTGGGGTCCCTCTCCCCCTCGCCCGGGTTTGGCACCGCGCTGCGTGCCCTGGTTTAGCCACGCTGTGGGAGGCAGAAGAGAGTCACCGAAGAGAGGATGTGGCCTGCAGCTCCCAGGGTGGGTTTGCTCAGCTGAGACCTGTGTCTGTCCCACGCTGGTTAATGAGGCTGCCGCCACCCCAACGCACAGCACGTGCTGAGCCCGGGGGCCTGGTGCCCGACACTGCTTCTAGGCATGAACCCTACAGAAATCTGTAGGGAATAAAAGGGGAAAAAAAAACCCAAACAGTTTTGATGTGCTCCTTTAAAAAAAAAAAAAAAAAAGAGCTTCCCCCCTTCCCCTGCATGTAAACCTGCTAATTAAGCCAGCAATATCTTCATTGCAACTTCCAATTGGCAGGGCTGGGCCAATCCTTTTGCTCTTATTAATTAGCTCTCTACTAATGACTTCTTTAGAGCAGGGCAGGCTTTTGCTGGGGAAGGTTCTAGCACGTTTGCTGTGGTGCTGGCTGCACTTGAAGGCCCTGCTTTGGGGAGCTGCACAAGGGCAGAAGAAATAGGAGCCAACAAAGTGAGTTTGATCTGATCAGCCATGTGGAAATGCAGCCCAGAAATGCTGTAGGGAAGCTGTAAGTGTAACTTATGTCGCTGAGCATTTTTATTTATCTTTTTGTCCACCCCAATTACTGAAGCTGAGGTTTGGGTTTAGAGTGGCAATTGGAAGCAAGGAATCTGTGAGGGTTATATTTAAATGAAAATACATTGAAGTAATTTCTGAGGAACTGACCCTGGCTGTCGGTGTGTTCAGTGAAAGGTTAAAGGGAGCCTTTTAAAATGTAGCTGGAGGAAAAAGAGATTCTATTTTCCAAAAGCAACAGAAGCCCTAGAATGCAGTTTCTGCATCTAGTGAAGAAAAACTATAGGGAAGCAGCAGGTTTTTAGCAAGAAAAGACCGTCAGAGAGTATGTCATTGGCATCTGGAAAAGTTAGTCTTTATTTTTAAGACTTTTACCTTGGAAGGCAAAGAATAAGTGCACTTGAGTAAACATAAAGCACTGCAGCCAAGAAAACCCTCCGGTAAGCAGCTTAAAACAATACCCAGGGTATAAGCTGCAAAGCCCTACAGGGGCCAGTGCTTCAGACTGGGAAAACCTTGACAGAAGGCAGCCTGGCCCCTGGCAGCGCTGCGAGGCTCATGCTGTTGTGTTGTGGGGTGCAGGTTTCCTCGAGAGTTGCTTTGCTACAACTTGTTGCTGTGCATTGTACTCGCTGAAGCAGATCTCCCTGCAAAGTCTGCCCATGTGCACCTTCACCCTGCCCTTGCTGGCCTCCCATGCCTCCCAGAGAGCTGCCAACGAGCAAAGTCGTTTGCTTTAAAACTGCCGTGCATTTCCCCAAAACTCCAGTCCCCCCAGACCTTGCCTCCCACCACCTCTCAAACTGCCAAGCGCGAAGACCTGAAATCATCCAGGTTTAATGCCTCTCCCCAGTGCTCTGAGCTGCTGAAGTTATTGCAGCATTTATGGACTTGCACTGGGAGCCTGTGGCTAGAGCGAAGCGGGTTTTAATTTGTTCAGAGTCTGCATCAAGCCTAAATGGTGTTATATCTGGGGAGTCTGGCTCTGCTCCGTGGAGCAAGGTGGTTAATTAATGAAGGATTTAGCTTTTGGTCCAAGTAATAATTTTCACTGCATCCCAGTACTTTGTGGACAATTGTCTGTATCAAAACGACCACTTAAACTGGGTAAAGGAGGTCTAATGTGAAGAAAGAATGACTGAGCTACCCGATTAGTATGGAGGAGGTACAGAAAAGGAATTAAAAAGGGAGATCAGAATATTCTGGGAGATGGGATTGTCTAATGAGAAAACAGGAGGAAATACTGGAAAAAAAAGGCAAGCGCTAAGTTAGGAATACAAATCCTTTAAAGAGAAACGAGAGGAATGAATTAAATATCATTTTGAGATTAATAAGAGACCTCTCTTAACAGACTTTATTGGAGCTGACTGTTCTGATGGTCCCTTTCCATCTCAGCAGCACATTTCATTATGTTTCCAGGTTTGTTTCTTAGCCTTAATGTGCTTTTCTAGGCATTTTTTAAGGTTAATATAAATAAATCTCTGGGTTCCAAAGGTGGAATCTAATTGGAGCTTAAGAAAGAGCAAGCAGAAGGGAAGAATGTGGCTGAGTACATAGGAAATTAGAAATAAGAATAAATAGCATCATGGGACTTGGGGAAAGAACAGAGATAACCGCACAGTGTGAGATGAATGCATGAAAAAGTGGAAAATTTTAGCCTGGTAGAAAGAGGAAATGGGACGTGTTGCCGCAGACGTGACAGCAGATGGCAAAATTGAGCTACAGAGACAGAGCAGAGAAACAGCTGGAGAGATCAGAAGAGGCTGTAAAGGTGATGCAGATTCGCTGCCACCAAGCAAAATAAATGCAGCCTCCTCCAGCTGCGATGGACGTCCCGGCCAGGAGCTCAGCTGATGGCTGGCTCCAAGGCACGCTTGGTCTGGGCCCCAGCTTATGTGTCTCCTAGCAACACAATTTCCTGCAAGTCTCAGTAACACCCTGGTTTTCTTGTGCTCCTGAGGCCATGATGGCCATGCACTTCTTCGTTTCCTCTTCCCACTGATGTCTAACCCCAGCAGGCAGCAGTGTGGCTTTGATTTCTCTTGCTAATTTAAAACATAAAACTCACGACTCAGCACCTCCTGCAATCACACTGTGGTAGCAGTGACCTGGCAAAAGAAACAT